TTGTGGCGGAATTAGAATGTTACGTCTTGAAATAAACCACCCCGGAAGACAGAGGGGCGGGGTTATGAAATTTAAACCTGTCAATCAAAGTGTGTATTCATGTGCGCTACTTTTGGATGGGTTGTAAATAGTTCGTTCGTAAAAAGTTCGTTTGTAAATAATTCGTTTGTACATAATTTAGTTGTAAATAGTCCGTTTGTAAATAGTTTAGTTCAGTGTTTCTTACAGACGTTTTTCGGGGAGGGGGGCGGACACTGTTAAAAGTATATATTTTCTATATAGATTCCATTTCGTTCGGGGGGGGGGGGGGTAGATTTTCTTAGGGACTGCAAGAAACTCTGGTTTAGTTGTAAATAGTCCAGTTGTAAATAGTTCGTGTATAAAGTGGTCCATTTGTTTACTAGTGTGGCTAGGAGCGGGGCAAGAAGGGCGTGGCTTCAACCAGCTTAGTTTCATGACGAACTTAAATTTGTCTTGATGAAAAAAATATTATTACAGTTATTTTTATTCGGCCAAAGAGGCAAGTTCACGTAATTCACGTAATTCTAGCCACATTGCCAGGACAATTGATTCGCCACTGCGAACATTAGATGCTTAGTTGTCGGAAGTCTCATCGACCAGTTACTTCTCGTCCATTTTAAACGCTCGCCAAGTTGGTAGTCGCTCAGTGGTCGTGTCCTTAGAATTGTTTTCACATTTTTGTACAGCTAGAAAAGAGAACTCACTAAAATGACCTTAGTGGTCAAGCATGGCTGTGTAGTGCTGGTATCCTAGGTGAGTACATATGTCACTAGTCCTGTGTCCAAAGGGTGTCCTGAAAACACACCTCGCCGGAATTCGGTTCCCCGACATAATAGCCTTGGATAAAAAATAACGTGACACAAGAAAGTCTGAGGTTTCTTAATGAAAAAAAAATATTTTGACGGAAATGAAAATTATAATAATATAAAAGAATCACTATTGTTTATTGGTATTTAGTAATAATATTTAAGATTTTTTAGTTATTGTTATTACTATATTGAATAACATTTTATTCTTAACTTTTCCTGTGCCTGTTATACTTTTTAAAACTAAATGTTGTTTAATTCGTGATTAGCTTTTCCTTATTACTTCCTGGAACTGGGATGTAGGGGGGGGGGGGGGAACTGATTGTCCAGGGTATTGTTTTTTCCCTGAGAAAGTTGCAACGAGACTTAACAACGTGACACTAAATAACGGATACATAAATGAAGAAATCACGAGAATTTTGAACAAATACGACTGGAATAGCGAAAGATGAACAATTCCCATTGGTCAAGATCTACAAACGAAATCCCTTGATGTTTGTATTTCACTGAGCGTCTCATTAATGAGCTAAAATTTATAAGACTTTTTGTCCTACATTACCAGCCGTATTGGTAAAGCTGATTATTGGATCACTTCTCTTCCAATCCCTTATCTTGTCCAAGTTTCTTGAGTAATGGCCGTCGCATGACCTGAATATGATATCTTTTATAGACCTTTTAATTGGCTTATATCACCTAACTGGGCATTACGATCTTAGAATGTACACGCCATCACTTTACCGCCATCCATTACATGAGATTAGCATATTAGACATTACACAATACGAATTTACAACCTCCGAGGTATGATATTAGCATATTAGACATTACACAATACAAATTTACAACCTCCAAGTATGACTTTAACACTTTAAATAGCACACAACATTAATTTACCACTTTCTTGAGAATGACTTTTAGCAACCTAAGACCTCACACAACATATTTCAGCACCGAAGACTTTACACAACATATTTTAGCACCTAAAACCTTTGACAACATATTTTAGCACCTAAGACCTCACACAACATATTTTAGCACCTGAGACCTCACACAACATATTTTAGCACCTAAGACCTCACACAACATATTTTAGCACCAAAGACCTCACACAACATATTTTAGCACCTAAGACCTCACACAACATATTTTAGCACCTAAGACCTCACACAATATTACACCTAAGACCTCACACAATATTACATCTAAGACTTCACACAACATTACACCTAAGACCTCACACAACATTACACCTAAGACCTTACACAACATATTTTAGCACCTAAGACCTCACACAACATATTTTAGCACCTAAGACCTCACACAACATATTTTAGCACCCAAGACATCACACAACATATTTTAGCACCTAAGACCTCACCCAACATATTTTAGCACCTAGCCCCTCACCCAACATATTTTAGCACCTAAGACCTCACACAACATATTTTAGCACCTAAGACCTCACACAACATATTTTAGCACCTAAGACCTCACACAACATATTTTAGCACCTAAGACCTCACACAACATATTTTAGCACCTAAGACCTCACACAACATATTTTAGCACCTAAGATCTCACACAACATAATTTAGCACCTAAGACCTCACACACCATATTTTAGCACCTAAGACCTCACACAACATTACACCTAAGACCTCACACAACATATTTTAGCACCTAAGACCTCACACAACATATTTTAGCACCTAAGACCTCACACAACATAATTTAGCACCTAAGACCTCACACACCATATTTTAGCACCTAAGACCTCACACAACATTACACCTATGACCTCACACAACATTACACCTATGACCTCACACAACATTACACCTAAGACCTAACACAACATATTTTAGCACCTAAGACTTCACACATATTTTAACACCTAAGACCTCACACAACATATTTTAGCACCTAAGACCTTACACAACCAAAGACCTCACACAACATTATTAGCACCAAAGACCTTACGCACTTTATTTAGCACCTGTGACCTTACACAACATTATTAGCACCTAAGACCTCACACAACATGATCAGTTCCCCTGGTCCAACATGACGTCAATGACCCAATGATTTAACACCAACATGTACTTCACCAACTCTCTCATCCAATCAGAGCTAGCGGGGGTGGGGTAGTGGTGGGGGTAGTGTACCGGAGAGGGTGGGGGTAGTGGCAGGGGGGAATTATGTCAGAGGTATTACTACTAGATTTATAACCGAATATGGAGTTATTTGCGTGTCAACTTGGGGGAGGGGATGAATAGGATTAGTTTATGATAACTTTTAGAATATCCATTGTTTAGTTGACAATGTGTGTACTTTCCTGTCGTCCATTGTTCAGTCGATAATTTGTGTACTTTCCAGTCTTGATGGAAGTGGGGCCTTTTTGTTACATTTGTTACATCCAATGTTGATAAATAAGGTGGGGTATAGAGTCTAGGACCTTTGTCTACAGTGGAGAATAGAGTCTGGGACCTTTGTCTACAGTTGGGTATAGATTCTCGGACCTTTGCCAACAGCGGGATATAGAGTCTAGGACCTTTATCTACAGTGGGGTTTCGAGTCTGGGACCTTTGTCTACAGTGAGCTATAGAGTCTGTGACCTTTGTCTACAGTGGAGTATAGAGTTAGGGACCTTATTTTTAGGATGACACACGGGTCCCAAACCGAGGCAGGGTAAAGCCACCTACCCCCTGTATGGGGTCACGCGACCCTAGCGTAACCTCTGCCAAAACCCCGACCAAAAACTCCATGTCGTTTGACCAATCGACCGTCATGTCAGAAAAAACACGTGACTTTGGGACTGAAGCCGTTGGTCTAGTTTGTTTTAGCTGCCAGAGTTTGATCAACGCGTTGGTTCGTGAACAACGACGCCGCGTTATCTACAACGACGCTCCAACGCTCTAACCCACCATCCTTCATTCTCACGGGACCTCAAAAAAACAAACAACTGCAGTTGTTTCCATGACAACGGACAAGGAACAAACGTCTGCCGATAACAGGATCAGGTCGTCTGTAGTTCTGGTTTTGATTTTTTGTTTGTTTTAGTATGTCGCCCTGGCTAATCAGTCTTCAGTTGAAGCTGGACTGTACTCTACAGACAGAGATCACATAACATATGGAATCAGGTCAGGATGTTCGATGGCTCATTTTTAAACGCGGGGGAAATAATAAAAAAAAATAAGATCGTGTGTGATAATTCTATTATGAAGCCGTGTTGAAAGGTTTTTAGAAACAAAGGATTGGGTTGGTTATCCGAGAACAAATGCCAAGTTAAAGAAATAGTAAACGTTTTCGTTACATAAGAAACGGCGCTAAAAATAAATCTGACGAGAGATACAGAGAATTGAGATTTGTTTCAATGCCTGGGAAATTTTTTTTTATTATAAAAATCATGTGTGTGAGCATGTAAACAGATAATGAGTTTTTAAATGGAAATTGAAATCCTAATTTTTTTGCTTCTTTGATCTGTCAAAGTTGTATACTAACGAGATTTGTTAAGCTATTGTCTATGCAAGGGTTAGTTCTCTTTGTCAAATTACAGTAGTGATTTGTGTATTGATGGAAAGATTTGAATTTCTTCTTCTTCTTCGTTCTTAATTTTAGTGTTGGAAGGGATTGCCTCCAACACAATTAAGGATTACGTGTCAACTGTTTATGCGCCATTGAGGCCATTGAATTTGCTTCCATAGCATTTGTCCTTTGAGTTTAAATGCTGGTTAAGGATTATTTTTTTGTATTATAGTATCTCTAAAATTGAAGAGTTAGTTAAAATAAACCTTAGGTAAGCTGACACCAGGATTTGATATATTTTTCACGAACACATTTTGAACGGTTTGTGTGGTAGCAACAATCGAAACGTGTAGGTGATGAAAATTTTAGCTGCGTTTTGACGTCAAGATTCCATCGCTTTTATTTGTACTTAGTTTTCAACGTAAGTGATACCTTTAGTTGGGGTTACATTGCTGGTAGCTCAATATCCCCATTGCGACAAGTTGACAATATTCGAATAATGTGTTAATTTCATGGGGCGATCAGTGGGTTTTATACCTTGTCGTAATATTTCCCTATTTCTTTCAGATGTGAGCAAAAAATATTTGTGACATCACTACTGATTTAACATAAGTTTGACTTAACGCTGAATTTTTAAACTATTCCCAGGTTTAGCTTGTAAACATCAACATACAGACATGGGACGACATACTTAAAAAAAAAAGATTATTCGAACACCGAAGCTTCTAGACCAAAACAAAATGGACGGCGGCACTCGAGAGATTCACGTCAGCCTTGTGGATCTCGTGAACCTGACCAACTTCTTCCCGTCTTCAGAGAACCCTGGCGGCGCCACGCAAGACTTGGAACTGGAGTACAACTCCGGCGACAACCTGCTGAACAATTCCTCCGCGGATAATGCCGGTCGACAGTTTGACCTGTCCACGCTGGTCAACTCAGTCCGGTACGACTTGAAACAGTCAGAGCTCCGGCTAGACGAGATGAACGGCACGGTGCCGGACATGTTCCGGCCGAGTACTTTTGAGCGCGGGTTCCTGACCAGCGCCAATGTTGGAATATTCTTGTGCTCTGTTGGGATATTTTTTAACCTGCTGCTGCTGCTGATGCTGTGTAACTCCAGGAAGATGAGGTTCCACTACCTGTACTCACAGGTGAGTCTATAAGGTTTTGTTAGATGTATTCACAGTTGAGTCTATAAGGTTCCATTACCTGTACTCACAGGTAGGTGAGTCTATAAGGTTGTATTACCTGTACTAACAGTTGAGTCTATAAGGTTCCATTACCTGTACTCACAGGTAGGTGAGTCTATAAGGTTGTATTACCTGTACTCACAGTTGAGTCTATAAGGTTCTATTACCTGTATTCACAGGTAGGTGAGTCTATCTATATATATAATTCTCTTCTGGGAGCCGTTAGAAAACAAGCTGCAAGCGCCTCCTTGCAGTCCCCTCTCTTTCTCTCTATCACTATCACTACCACCCCCACCCCACCCCCACATTGTCTGGTGAGCTGTGGTCACGCTTTTTGTTTACAAAGCTAAATGTTTACAAATCGTAGAGCCGTAGAGTCGGGTTTCTATTAGGGGCAGATAATTTAGCTCGATTTTAAACTTACAGGAGGTAACTAAGAAATAACTAAGAGGAGGCTGCTTTCACGGGGGGGGGGGGGGGTGTAGGGTCGGGGTTAGGGGAAAGGGGGGGGGGGGGTTAGTGTTTTAAAGCAAATATTTTCAGTGGCAGCATTGGTACTGTCGAATTCACGAATTATGAATTACTGAAAAGTAGAAAATAAAACAACTAAATAGCGGCGTATGATACGCTGCGGGTCGGCTCGTAAGGTTATATTACCTGTATTCACAGGTAGGTGAGTCTATAAGGTTATATTACCTGTATTCACAGGTAGGTGAGTCTATAAGGTTATATTACCTGTATTCACAGGTAGGTGAGTCTATAAGGTTATATTACCTGTACTCACAGGTGAGTCTTTGAGGTTCCATTACCTGTACTTACAGATGAGTCTATAAGGTGCCATTACACAGGTAGGTAACTCTATGAGGTGCCATTACCAGTACTGACAGGTAAGTCTATAAGGTTCCATGACCTGTACTACAGGTAACTCTCAGGTTTCTCTCTGTATTTCTGCAGCACCACCAGGATACACCAAAGCGTGTATCACGTGACACCCGTCAGACTAGAACCCATTAAAGTTTGAGACTGATTTTTTTTTTCAAAATTCCTGACAAACCCAAAGTGCGTTGAGGTTAACGCAAAAATTCTAACCTAGTCAGGCCCCAAGCGTCACTTGAATGTCAAAGTGACGTGGTTAATTATTCCTCTGTTTCTTACTGCACTTTTAGAAATTAGAGAGTACATGACATGAAGTAACGCTTAGAATATATTGTTTTATTGAAAATTTATCACGGGTTGAAATGGATGATCCTCAATGGATGTTAAATAATGCAGCTTTTAAACACGTCTAACATTTGGGTTGACGAGGTTGATGATTTGTTAACAGTGTTCGGTTTTTTTCTGTGTCTATTTTTGTGGAGGTGGGTTTTTTAAAGGAATATCTAAATAGAATGGATGATGTTTATAAATTATTATTCGTGAGCTTATATTAAGTGGGTAGAGATTGGCATGAAATATGTGGTCTGTGTTTTTTGTGCTATGTAGGTGGTGGTTAATTTAATGTAGGTGGGTAGTAGTTGCCTTATGTAAGGTGGATGGCTTATTGTGTGTGGGTGGTGGTTGACTTAAGCAATGTTGTGGTGGATGACTTAAGAAATGTGGTGGTTGACTTAATTTATGTAGGTGGCGGTTAAGTGGGCGCTAGTTGACTTAAGTGGATGGTGGTTGACTTAAGAAATGTGGTTGTGGTTGACCTATGTGGGTGGTGGTTTATTTTAGAAATGTTGTGGTGGTTGACTTTAAAAAATGTGGTGGTTGTTGACTTAAGTCATTTGGGCCAACTTGCTGCCGGATATATTTCACGTGAATCTAGAGAGACAATGTGTACCGAGATTAAATCTGTCAGAGACTGACCAATCACCTTGGTACGCGAGCACTGAAGCCACGCCCCCCGGCAATCTGCTGGTGACACATCTGACTGCCGTCTGCTAAAAGGTGATCAACCTCAACCCATCCGTCACCCAGAATGACTTAAGTCACCGACCTTTAGAGTTGCGATTGTCGTGGTGATGTATTCACAAGTTAGACTACGACCTTAGTGAAGTGAATGTTTATGGCAAGAGTAACCTGAAACATTTCACCATGTCAATGCGAAAAATCGCAGTTTTCAAAGTTCAGCGTCTAGAGATTTGAATGGTGCTTGAAACTCTGAGGAATAAATAAGCGTTATCGTCTTGAGAGAAAATATCTGAACAAGCGGTCGATGCTTTTAACACGATTTTTTCTGAAATTTATGTTTCTAAAACTAGATGGGCAGATATTGGAGCAGTTTAGGAGAGGAGAGGGGAGGGGGGGGGGGGGGGGGTAAGGTCAGTCAATTTGTGGCACCATTAACAGACAGACGACACACACACTCTTGCACTTAAAGCTCCCTTCAGCTTGCATCACTAATCTTCCTGATGTTATGGACAGAGTTACCTCCGCTTTTTCGGGGGGGGGTGAAGGGCATGAAAAGTAAAAAATAAAATATTGGTTATTGATAATATGATCATCCCACAAGCATTTACCATATCGGCGATTACTAAAACCATTATCTTAATTAGACGGCGCTATTTTCATAAGGTACCCTTGTTAGTGTGTGTTGTCTGCAGTATACCAAGAGTTAAGGTCAAAAACACAAGTTGTATCCGTGTAGTCACTAGCATTGCGTTAAAGTATATGATGAAGTCGGTAGAAACATGAACACTACAATATTAACTTTTGTCGACCATTCAGCAAAATTATTTAATTAAAACAGTTTATTAATGGCAAGTATTATTTTAATACTATCCCGTTAAAGTTATTTATTATTTTTCTTATTTAAACTCATTGTTAATTGTTATTCAATCAATGTAACTTATGCAATACATTCGAAAAGAAGACAAAAAAAAACCTTATTAGAACCTTCGTGGGGTCGGCGTGGTCGAGTCGGTAAAGCTCAGGGTTGCTAAACCAAAAAGTCCCGAGTTGGAACCCTCGGGCCGATGAGGCTCGTTAGCTGGGGACAGCCACTCATCTAGGAGAGGCAACTCCAAAATTAAACAACTGCTGCCTTGTAGTTTGTTCTTGGTATGGAAGAAAATCCAAAAAGGAAAGCAGGCTGAAATCGGAGTCAACGGCCTATATGTGCATAACCAGTTGACACGAATACTTAATTGTGTTGAGGGGATCCCTTCCAACACTAAAATTAAGAACGAAGAAGAAGAAGAACTTTCATGTTATAAATTACGTGACGCTTATAGACGAATCAAACTAACAGTACAGGTACCATTTCATCTTTAATATAGCTCAAACAAAAACGTCACCGGTTTTATGGTCCATGAACGTAACACACTCTGTTTTCAAATAGGTGATTCAAACCCAGCCCACCCAATCCATTATTCATTGCTAAATATAAGATTCAATATCGAACAATTGCACTGCATTTGTCCATTCGATAAACGAATGCACCATCGTCTGCTCATTAGGCCTTGATTGAAATTAAAAGAAAACGGAAATGTTTACACATAATCCTGTAATGAGGAAATTGATATTTAACAAAAATTCGTAATGGAATTTTTAAACTATAAAGATACCCTACAAATTTAATTTAGCAGCGAAGATAATGATATATTACTTTACACAAAAAAATTTTTTTAATGTGTAGTTATGTTAGAAAATTAAATAATTCAGTGATAATTTTTTAAATGTCTGGGCATTTACTTTAAACGTTGATTATTAAACGTTTCAATCAACAGAGACAATTGATAAAAAAAATATAAGCAGCGTTTAATTAATTATATAAAAAATGTGTAGATGACGATGAACTATTTAGAAGACGAAGAGGTGAGTCTGAACTTGCACGTTAAAGTAAATTTAGAAATCTATCTTAGAACAAAAGACCTTCACCTTGTACAAGAAATGATGGCGCAGGACAACGTGTTCAATTTGTGCGCAAGGATATTTTTAGATCCCGTTACAATGTCAAGGTTATAAGGCACAGAAAACACTAAGACTACGACACAGAAAACACTAAGACTACGACACAGAAAACACTAAGACTACGACACAGAAAACACTAAGACTACGACACAGAAAACACTAAGACTAAGACACATAGAACTACAGTGACCTTTTATCACCAGTGCTACAGTGCATCTAGTCTCACCGGTGCTACAGTGCACCTGGTGGCACCGGTGCTGGCGTGTCAGAAAAGGGGCTGGGAGAAAACTTGTAGCACCGACATCCGCCTCTAATCCCGGGTTCAAAACATGCTCAGACGGCTTGGGCGTCACGCGAGTTGGTTGTTGCCCCTGTGTGTAATGTGTTGGCATTAGCGTGATCCCGACGTGACACCGTCATCACGTCGAGTATTGACGGTGATTCACGATTTCATGGCGTTTGATGATGTTTGTTTGTTTAGTTATCGCCCTTAATTTTAATTAAAAAATATCCTGATTTAAATATTTCTTTTAAAATTAAGGAATTTTAAAATGTTGTGCTCAGTTTAAAATGAAATTTAGTTGCTGGTGTGGTCTGATGTAATTTAAAGTCGAATCAACACGCGGGGAGAATTGCGAAATCAGGGGCGGCAATCCTCTTTCGCTGAGCGGCTTGTAAACGTTAATACCTGGGACAGCCTTAGAAGATCGTCGCCCTTTTAACATGCGATCTGTAACTTCATTTTACAACAAAATATAGTTCCTACATCATCAGTCAACCTAGATAACAGGATTTAAAATTTTTGTAAAGTTTGACAATTTATAATTTAAAAAAAAAAAAAGCACATATTTAAAAATTTAGTTTAAGTATCTTCTCTCTTTAAAATCTTTACAAAGTTTGACAATTTATATTTAAAAAAAAAAAAAAAAAACACATGTTTAAAAATTTTGTTTAAGTATCTTCTCTCTGTCTCTATCTCCCCCCCCCCCCCCCCCCCAACCATGCCATTGACCCATTAAGATATAATCTATTGCCGGTCCTAATTTGTTTTTGAACACATGATT